TGTACGGATGGGCAGTACGGGCAGGACAGCTCACCAGATCCGGGCAGCTCTTAGGGCAGGTATCTCACTCCTATATATATATATATATAGGAGTGGGTCTTTTCTTGGGACTGACGATTTATCCATTCTTTACTTTGGAAAATTGAAAAAAACACATACTGACTTAAGCATCAGAGGCTCTTCACCGGAAAACCCCTCTGGTGTGAGAGTTCTGTGCAGGTGCGCGGCGTTCTACCGGCGAGGAAGAGGAAGGCGAACCGATTTCAGGCCGGTCGGAGTGTTTTGCGTTACCAGACTCCAAACTCCTCATATACATACATTACTCAATACTTCAAGTTTTCGCCGAAAAAAGCCACAATGTTGCCGGAAAAAAAGGGATTTTCGGACAGAGAAGTAACAATTTTTGGCCGGAGAAACAGGGATTTTCGGCCGGAAAAAGCCCTAAGATGGCCGAATTTGTTGCCTCTGATAAAAGCCCCAGGGTCCGGTTTGTAATCGCCAGCGAGATGAAGCTGCAAAAAAATAATAATAATAAAGAGCAGCGATGAAGAAGAAAAACGCGGGAGAAGAATAGGGAAGAAAGAAGAGTGGAGAAGAAGTCTTAGGTAAACAAACAGAATAAAAAAATGGAAGATAGTGGGATGATGTCATATAACAATTTCTTTGTGATTTAATTTAATAGGAGGGATTTAAATGGAAGATGATTAGGGGGGTAGGGAGTAAAATAGATAGAAATTTCTACTAGGGACTGATTTGGAAGATTGAATTAGGATTTGAGATTTTTAAAGAAAGCTCCCAAAAATTTAAGTGGTTGAGTAATTTATTGAACTATAAATAATTGACTATTCCATTTACTTCTAAGTTGATATTGACCCGTAAGTTATGTATAATGACTTATTTGTCTTTTATTGACCCGTAAATAATTGACTATTCCATTTATATATATAAATAATTAACCCGTAAGTTATATATATATATATATATATATATATATATATATTTGTGTGTGTGTGTGTATGCACTATCTCATAATTTTTTAGATTTTTTGTCGGTTACCTTATCGCTGAAATTTATCAATTAATTCTCTAGAACTAAATTACAAATTTTAAATTTAATTAACCGATATTTGTTTAAAGATCTTTCTGATTTTCAAGAGGAATACAAATTTGTCGATTTATCATCAATATCTTATGACAAGTTATTATGGGAATATGCTAAAATTTGATAATCATATCACCTTGATTTCGACTTTCAAACTCATACCAAATATAATTCATACCACTTATTTTGTTTTCAAAATTTCCAAACACACTTCTATCAATACCGAATAAAATTCATACCATTTGAATTCGAATATATTATACTAAAATAAAATCGATCACGTTATACCATAAATTTGGATATTTATTAATAGAACACATTTTCAACCAAATATAAAAATATCCATTAGATACCTCAAATGATTCGTCCACTTTATACAAAAAGTGAATTTAATATTTTATTTAATTTTATACCATAAATTGATTAAGTAATATCTAGAGGCGGGATTTTTTGAAATTTTTCAAAAAGGATTACCAAGTTTAGTAATTTTAAATTTTTTAGGTGGGATTTTAGTTTTTATTTTAAGTATGCCAACTTTGGAATCAAACAATAGTGTTTTAAATTTATTTGATTATTTTTGTGCGTATGTGTTTGAATTTGAGTTTGCAACAAATTATAATACTGATTTTGTTTGCCTATATGCAGTGGCGGATTCAAAAAAAATTTGTTGGGGAGGCGGTGAACAATGTAATTTTCAAAAACATCATCCATTTTAATATAATAGAAAAAATATGTACTTCCAAACTTTGCTAGCAATTAGAGTTGTTTAGTTTTCCCAAGTTATGGAATAGTTGACTCGAACTTGTACAAACTAAAAATATAGAAAAAATAAAAGAAAATCTCATCTTTGGATTTTCTATAAGCATATATCATATATTTCCACCACATTAACTTGAATATTTTAAGTGCTCTGCATATTAAGTTTACTCCTCGTAGCATATTAAGTTATATACAGGCATATTTACAGAAGACTTACAATATCTAATTATTATTTATAATAATCACTACTTGGACTAGTACAAATGAGTTAGGATAGAGTTGTGTAGATTCTTCTTCTAATACTCTTCTTTGAATTTTCTATTTTTAGGTAAGACAATTGATTATCAAAGTCTCAATTTATTTATTTAAAAATAGGATGAATAAAAAAAATATCATTTTATATATACTTAATAGAAAAAACAAAAATGTTGGGGGACAATGGCCTCCCCCAACACACATGTAGATCAGACTCTGCCTATATGGATGTTGTTTAAAAAGATTAGGATCATAGTTAGTATCAATGTATGTAAAAAAATATACTATTTCAATTTGCGACAAATTTGTTCCTAAATGTGAGGGAAGACCAAAAAAAAAATGTAAAACATATTTTAATTTTTAAAGTAAATTGAGTGTTAAAATCGTCAATTAAATGCGTATCAAATATTGATGCATGCAATTTTGTGTATAAGCTAATATTCCCCAATTTCTTGAATTATGTAATTTTTTTTTTATTTTATTATTTTAAATCATATAAATTTGTATGTTATATTGTGATTAATATTCACCTTTGATCAGGAAAGAAAACCGCCCGCCACAATAGAAAATCTTCCCTTTTTTCTTGCACATAATAAATTATTTGCAAAATGAGTTAGTCGCCATACCGTGGACCCAAATTACATCATGCATGTCAATTTTCACAAAACGTCACATTTTTTTTTTAATGTAAAATAACATACTAATAGTACAACACCCGTATATTACACGGTTGCTTGTTAAAAAATTATTCTTAAATTTTAAAATTAATGAGAAAAATAAATTAAATTTATTTACAATATGGATGTTAAATCGAAGTTCATCAAGAGATGATTAATTTGATATATTATATGTGTAAAACTGATAAGAAATACAAAAGTTATTAACTTTTAAAATACATTTACAATTCAATGGTTATAATAAGAAATAATATTAAAATACAACTAATACATGTAACATGACCATAAATAATAAAAATATTTATGGATAATCCGAACCTAATTTTTTGGATTGGAATTAAATTAAAATCTACCCAAGCATGTAATTTTGCCACATAGGATCTCGAAGCATGCGAGTTTGCCACTTAGACTCGGCACGTTTCGTATTAATATATAGGTGGGATTTGCTTCAAAACAAAATAAATAAATTTATCAATTACACCAATAAAATAATACTTACCTAAAATATTTGTATCATTTGAATGGTAACAAGCGCCATATTTGACCAGAACGCTTCTTCACATTAACTAGTGCATAGCCCGTGCGATGCACGGGAAAATAATATTAGATAATAATTATAATTAAAGATGCAGGCAAATAGCATTAAATAATAATAAATTAAATATTTAGGATTAAATAATAATATATCGGTTTGTTGTACAATATAAAATTATCGTGTACAAAAGAACACAAAACATGTATGATTAAAGTATTAAAAATACCTAAAATAACATATGTAAAGATATCTAAAATATTCTACATTATTCTTAAAAAATATTAAGTCACCTAAACTTCCACTGAACTATTTTGTAAAGACAAAATGTCTAAAANAAAGATATAAACTTTAATGTACAGAATGGGGAAAAAAAAATCTAAAAAGTATCTAAAATATTATATGTGTGAGTATTGAATGTGTAAAAAAAGTATCTAAAATACTATTTGAGTAAATAATAAGTATTACAATCTAATATCTCTTGTTGAACTTTATGAGAGAATATTTACATAGTAGATATTGTCTATATGTCTTGTATACCAGTTTTATATTGTTACTATCAACATTGTCTCTATGTAATGTATCGCATGTCAAGTGATTTTGATTATATCTCATTTATCATATTTTGTATTGATCCATCCATTAATTCTGATTTTTTTTTAACCAATTTCACGGAAATATATTATACGAATTTGTGTCTATCTCGCAAATGCTAACGAATTTAGTACGAAATACAGCATTTTGTTAGAAAGAATTATTATTCCTTGCATTGGAATATAATATATAAATCTATATAGAAATTATGGAAATTTTTAGTTTGTGTTGAAAAATTTTCAAATGATGAAAAACTATAAAATAAAAATATAACTATTAAAATTAATATGATATAAAATAATAAAATATTAATTTAAAATGGTTGAAAATTAAAATATCATATGTGTAATAATATTATTTTAATTGTTAGGTTCGTAGTAATATTATTTGATATCCATTCACAATCTTATTGGCAAAAATTTAAATTTGTACTCATAAATCTAATTAAAAAAAAATGAATAATCATTTATCTTCATTATTCATATACTAATTAATTAGGTAATCGATTTTAATCTCGTTAATATTATTTTATCTGCTGACAAATATTTAAATTATTCCCTAATCTAACTTGTTGCCCTTGTCATATCATATATTATTGGGTTAATAACTTTTTCCCATCTGAACTATCCCGATTTTGGCGCATCACCATATGAACTTTTTTCTTTTACAAACCACCATATAAACTACACAGGCTTATCAAATTTCCCTCCTAAACCGGAAACAAAGTAGTTTTGACTAAAAAAACTGATTTTTGAGGGCATTTAAGGAATTTCATATTTTTTTCAAAAAATAAAAAATAAAAAATAAAAATAAAAAGAAAGAAAACAGCAACGTTGAGTTGGCACCAATAGCCATCTCCAAACCCTAATCTCCGACGACTTTGACCACATCATTTTCACCCTTGACAACATCACCCCCGCATTCACAAAACTCATCGCCATGTCCTCAACGAGCCAATGCGTCGTGGGCCTCGGTGGCTCGGAGCTGTGTCCACCGTCTTTTTCGTGGCCTCGAGCTGGGTTAGCGTTTCTTGGGCTCGAGTTTCGGAAGCCTTGCTGTCAGTGAGCTGGGCCTTCATGTCCTCAAAGAGGGCGAGTGTTTCGGAGAGGATCTGTTTCAGCTTGCTGAGCTCGTTTTCTCGGTTTTCTTGATGGGTCTTGGGTTTGGGCTCGGAGAACTGTTCCTGGAGTGCCATGATAGGCGGCTCTAATATGCGCCATCTCCATTTTCAGCGCCACCATCGGTCCCAGCACCGTCACTTGTGGGGCCCACGACTTCACCTCCAAACTCTCGAATGTGTTCACACTTATTCCGTCTAAATTTAATACGTCGTGAGAATATTCTATAAATATCTTGTAGTCGTTAGATTCCCGATCGAGCAGCGGTGCCACCACGTTGGACGGCGGGAATGGCGGCAGGCCCGGGAAATTGAGGAGCGTGTATATATTTGTTATGGATTTACCGATAACTTTTTCAAGCTGGTAGGTTGTGGATGAACGTACATGGGCATTGTCTAGAGCAATGCAGTAGTGTAAGTTATTGCAAACTCAAACATGCTCTTGATTTTGTTGTTTATGTTAGTCGCCAATGTTGAGAAAAGTGTGCAGCAATTGTAGAAAAATCAGCTGCCTCAAATGATGAAAATTATTCCAGCCCACCAAGCCGTATGCAATAAATGTGCAGGGGCAACCTTTTGTTGAACATATCAACCAAAATCCATGTGAAAGCATTTAATTTGGGGCTGAACGTGAGCAGTCTTTTGATGACAAATTGTGCACTCCCCACTCTATAAATAGAGATGGGTTTTGATGAACGAAACACACCAACAAATACAGAAAACACAGAAAGAAAGAGAGAAAAAAGAAGAGAGTGAAAAGAAGTAAAATATTTAGCATCTGTGTGTATTTGAGTTGTGAGTTGTGAGTGAGTTCGAGAGTGTTTTGTAAACACGAGTGTATTTTTTTCTTCTTCCCAATAAAATATCTGCAGTAGTCCGGAGACGTAGGCATTATTGGCCGAACTCCGTTATTAATTTGACGTGTCCAATTTTATTTATTTTTATATTTCACTTTTATAGATCCGACTTCATGGAAAATTCAGCGTATTTTTCCCAACAACTGGTATCAGAGCCAGATTGTTAATTTTGTATTTTTTTTGTGTGGTGTTACTATTCCGTTGAAAAACGTGAATAGTACTAATTTTGTCGGCGCTACAATTTATCTACCGACGTGTTTTGAAACACGGTAGTTCACAAAAATTGCAGAAACGATCCGACAGAGAAGTCAGATCAGAGTCGAAGTGATGGCTGCAGACGAAGGAAAAATGAAAATCGAAAAGTTCGACGGTGCGGACTTTGGCTTCTGGAAGATGCAGATCGAGGATTATCTGTACCAGAAGAATATGTATCAACCACTCACAGGAAAGAAGCCAGAGGACATGAAGGAGGAAGAATGGAGTCTCCTTGACAGACAAGCTCTTGGAGCCATTCGGCTGACGTTATCCCGTAATGTTTCTTTTAACATTGCAAAAGAAAAGACGACAGCAGGCCTCATGAAGGCTCTTTCCAACATGTACGAGAAACCATCAGCCTCAAACAAAGTTCATTTGATGAGGTGATTGTTCAACCTTCGGATGACCGAAAGTGCTTCGGTGGCACATCATCTCAATGAGCTCAACACCGTTACAACACAGTTGAGTTCAGTTGAGATCGAGTTCGATGATGAAGTACGGGCTTTAATACTTTTGTCTTCTCTACCAGAAAGTTGGAATGCTACGGTCACGGCTGTGAGTAGCTCATCGGGAAACAATAAGTTGGGATTTGATGATGTCCAAAATTTGGTTCTCAGTGAAGAGATCCGCGGAGAGAGTCGGGTGAACCATCGACCTCTTCTGTATTGCATACAGAGTCAAGAGGAAGAAGTTCAACCAAAGAAAGCAAACACAACATATCAAAAGGAAGAAGATCCAAGTCCAGAAATCATCGTAGTTCCCAAACCTCGAAGTCGATCGAGTGCTGGAACTGTGGGAAGACCGGGCACTACAAAAACCAGTGCAAGAGTGCACCGAAGGGTCAGGAGGCAAAAGAAGAGGCAAATATTGCTTCAGCCTCCGGAGGAGATTCGCTGATATGTTCTTTAGAGAACAGAGAAGAGTCTTGGGTGTTAGACTCTGGAGCATCCTTTCATGCTACCTCTCAGAAGGAACTACTCGAAAATTATGTTCCTGGTAACCTTGGTAAAGTTTACCTTGGTAATGAGCAATCATGTGAGGTTGTAGGGAAAGGTGCAACAAAAATCAAGCTGAGCGGGTCTGTATGGGAATTGAAAAATGTCAGACATATTCCCGACCTGACGAAGAATTTAATCTCTGTGGGCCAGCTAGCCAGTGAAGGCTACACGAAAATCTTTCATGGTGATGATTGGAAGATTTCAAAGGGTGCGATGACAATTGCTCGAGGCAAAAAGAGTGGTACTCTTTACAAGACAGCAGGAGCATGTCATCTGATTGCAGTTGCAGCAAATGAAAGTCCCAATCTATGGCACCAAAGACTTGGGCATATGAGTGAAAAAGGGATGAAGATCATTCACTCAAAAGGAAAATTACCAGGCCTTCAGTCAATAGAAATTGACATGTGTGAAGGTTGTATACTTGGAAAGCAAAAGAGAGTCAGCTTTCAGACAAGTAGAAGAACCCCAAAGAAGGAGAAGCTTGAGCTCATACACTCTGATGTCTGGGGTCCAACGACTGTCCCATCCATTGGTGGGAAGCAATACTTCGTGACTTTTATCGATGATCACTCCAGAAAGGTATGGGTTTACTTTCTGAAACACAAGTCAGAAGTATTTGAAGCTTTCAAGATTTGGAAAGCGATGGTGGAAAATGAGACAGGCTTGAAGATCAAGAAGCTCAGATCCGACAATGGTGGTGAATATGTAACCACCAGATTCAAGAAGTTTTGCTATGAGAACGGGATCAGAATGGAGAGAACCGTGCCTGGTACACCACAACATAATGGTGTAGCTGAGCGTATGAATCGAACGTTGACTGAAAGAGCCAGAAGCTTGCGTGTGCAGTCAGGCCTACCAAAGCAGTTCTGTGCAGAAGCAGTCAACACAGCAACTTACTTGATCAACCGAAGTCCATCGGTACCACTGGATCACAAGTTACCAGAAGAGGTATGGAGCGAAAAAGAAGTAAAACTAGCACATCTTAGAGTTTTCGGGTGTGTAGAATATGTGCACATCAGTGATCATGGTAGAAACAAACTTGATCCAAAATCAAAGAAGTGTACCTTCCTTGGTTATGGTGAATATGAGTTTGGCTACCGCATATGGGATGATGAAAACAAAAAGATGATCCGCAGCAGAGATGTCATCTTTAATGAAAAAGTGATGTACAAGGACCGGCATAACACAAGTGCCAGCAACTCAGAAGCGAGTGGGCCAGTTTATGTTGAGGTGGAAGATATCCCAGACAGTCCTATAATGAGGAGTCCTCAGTCAGAGGAATCAAATGAAGAAAGTGATGTGCAATCAGAACCTCCTACTCCAGCTCCTGTATTGAGAAGGTCCTCTCGGCCCCATGTTCCTAACAGGAGATACATGGACTACATGCTGCTGACTGATGGAGGGGAGCCTGAAAATTACATGGAAGCTTGTCAAACCACAGATGCTAGCAAGTGGGATCTTGCCATGAAGGACGAGATGAAGTCCTTGATCTCAAATCAGACATGGGAACTAGTCAAGTTACCTATGGGAAAGAAAGCACTTCACAACAAATGGGTGTATCGAGTGAAGGAAGACCATGATGGTTCCAGGAGATACAAAGCCCGACTGGTTGTCAAAGGATTTCAGCAGAAAGAAGGAGTTAACTATACTGAAATCTTTGCTCCAGTTGTAAAGCTCAATACTATCAGGACGGTGCTAAGTATTGTGGCTAGTGAAGAGCTCTACCTAGAGCAATTAGACGTGAAAACTGCATTTCTTCACGGAGACCTAGATGAGGAGATATATATGCACCAGCCTGAAGGTTTTTCAGATGGAAAGAAGGATATGGTGTGCAAATTGAAGAAGAGCTTGTACGGCCTGAAACAAGCTCCAAGACAGTGGTATAGGAAGTTTGAAAGCTTCATGCACAAGGAAGGTTTCCAGAAGTGCAATGCTGATCACTGTTGTTTCTTTAAGAAGTATGAGTCCAGCTATATCATCTTGCTACTTTATGTCGATGACATGTTAGTAGCAGGATCAGATATGAAAGACATCAGAAAATTAAAGATGCAGTTGTCAAAAGAATTTGACATGAAGGACTTAGGCCCAACAAAGAAGATTCTTGGAATGCAGATCACGAGAGATAAGCAAAAGGGAGTTTTGCAGTTATCTCAGGCAGAGTACATCAACCGTGTCTTGCAGAGATTTAACATGGACAAGGCCAAACCAGTCAGTACACCTTTGGCCAACCATTTTCGTTTTTCCAAGGATCAATCTCCTCAAACAAAAGAAGAAGAAGAGTTCATGGCTAAGATTCCTTATGCTTCAGCCATTGGAAGTTTGATGTACGCGATGGTTTGTACGAGGCCAGACATTGGTCATGCAGTGGGAGTTGTTAGCAGGTTTATGTCAAATCCAGGAAAAGCTCATTGGGAGGCAGTCAAATGGATTTTGAGATTTCTACGGGGCACAACAGAAAAATGTCTGTATTTTAGAAAAGGAGATCTAAAGTTACAGGGCTACGTAGATGCAGACTTTGGAGGTGAAGTTGATCACCGGAGAAGCACCACCGGTTATGTTTTCACTGTCGGAGCTACAGCTGTTAGTTGGATGTCGCGGATACAAAAGATTGTTGCTCTATCCACTACAGAGGCTGAGTATGTAGCAGTGACTGAAGCCAGTAAAGAATTGATATGGCTTCAAGGATTGTTAGCAGAGTTGGGTTTCACTAAAAAAGAGAGTGTCTTGCACAGTGACAGTCAGAGTGCAATACATCTGGCAAAGAACTCAGTGTTTCACTCTAGAACTAAGCACATTGACATACGATATCATTTCATCAGATCTCTTCTCGAGGATGAAGTGTTGACTTTGAAAAAGATTGTAGGAAGCAAGAACCCAACAGATATGCTAACGAAGGTGGTGACCATTGACAAACTGAAGTTGTGCTCAACTTCAGTTGGCTTGCTAGGATAAAAGACCTGAGAAGACTACTGCGGTAATTGAGGTGTGAGGACAGATTGAAATCAGTCCTCAAGTGGGAGATTGTTAGCCGCCAATGTTGAAAAAAGTGTGCAGCAATTGTAGAAAAATCAGCTGCCTCAAATGATGAAAATTGTTCCAGCCCACCAAGCCGTATGCAATAAATGTGCAGGGGCAACCTTTTGTTGAAGATATCAACCAAAATCCATGTGAAAGCATTTAATTTGGGGCTGAACGTGAGCAGTCTTTTGATGACAAATTGTGCACTCCCCACTCTATAAATTGGGTTTTGATGAACGAAACACACCAACAAATACAGAAAACACAGAAAGAAAGAGAGAAAAAAGAAGAGAGTGAAAAGAAGTAAAATATTTAGCTTCTGTGTGTATTTGAGTTGTGAGCTGTGAGTGAGTTCGAGAGTGTTTTGTAAACACGAGTGTATTTTTTTCTTCTTCCCAATAAAATATCTGCAGTAGTCCGGAGACGTAGACATTATTGGCCGAACTCCGTTATCAATTTGGCGTGTCCAATTTTATTTTTTTTTT